AATGTAGTTTAGGAGTGCTGGAGCTAAGTGTTTGATAGCCCGTTAACACCTCTGCCAAGTTGTTCATATAAGCATGTCGTCGAGCACTAATATTTTTCTTAACCAAATCATCACTGCCTCGTTTTTCTTTGTTACTGCTGGTATTGTTAATACTGCTGGTACTTATGTCATTGTTACAGATCCAAAGTGATCTGTAACACTTGTACTCATTATTTTAGGTTGCTATAGGTTTAAGAGTGGCTTTGTAGTGATAACTCTGATTCGTATCCTTTACAGAATTTCTTTTTGTTTGTCAAGAATTATAGTCGACATTTCTGCATGCGTTTGCTTTATGTGCTATCTTCATAACTGCAGTCCCTGTAATTTTCTTGAATATCAAATTGTCTTTGAAGTATGATACACGAGGTTATTGCTAAAACCTTTGTTAACCAAAAAATGTAAGGTTTAGTTTTTTTTAACCGAACAAACTACTTAATTTTGGGAACATAATCAGAGCGAAATTGTATCATTATTAAATAATAACATGAGATGAACTCACCAGTTGGAGAGATACTGCTATTTAACTAGAATGTAGAAAAAAGATAGAAACAGAGAAAGAGGACAAAGCTCAAATATGATATCAAGGGTACATATTGGAGAGTCCATAAAACCCAATAGTTATCCTAATTAATCTTTTTGAAATAATTGAGTTCTTAGTTCTATCTCCCCTTTTAGGAGAGAAACAATAAAATTGTTACTCAAGATGTCTATGGATCATGAAGTTACAAAAGTACTGGTATTACTATTATGCAACTTCAGTCTTAGCTTCTTGGTTGCTCTGCTTTCTTCAGATTATTACATTCAATTATGCCGGACAATGCTAAGTGGGACGATGATACACATATTATATTTATTGAGTTGTGTGAGCAAGAGGTTAGAAAAGGAAATAGACCAAACACTTACTTAAATAAAGATGTGTGGAAAAGTCTTGTTGACGAGTTCTGTAAGAAGACGGGAAAAGACTATGATAAAAAAAAATAAAAAATCATTGGGATTACATGAAAGGCTAATGGACACTTTTTAAGCAATTGATGAGAGGGGAGACAGGTTTAGGATGGGATGCCACGAAAAATACGATTATGGCAGATGATGATTGGTGGGACCGAAAAATTAAGGTACATCTTTCACATTATTATATGTGTAATTCTCATTTTTTTAATTGTTAATTTTATCAATTTGATTAAAGTAGTTTTGATTTTCTCTTTTTATAGGAGAATGCAAAATATAAGAAATTTAGGAACAAAGATCTTTTGCTCATATGGTTTCGCTACGATGCATTGTTTGTTGATGTTGTTGCCACAGGAGAAAGAGCACGTTCAGCAAATCAAGAACAATCATCCAGCATTGTACTTAATCTTGATGAAGAAGGAATAAATGTTATTGATGGTTGTGACAAAGAACACTTTATTTATCTTAATGATGAAATGAGCGATGAAAGTGATGATCTACAGAATATAAATTTTGTTATGTTTCCAGAGCCATCACTAAAAAGACAAAAATCAATTGATGGTGTTAGCACCAGTAGTCAAGTAAGAAAGAGTAAGAAAAAAATAGTTGCAACATTAATAAAAGAGGACATACACTCGCTCATAGAGTTTATGTCTAGCAAAAGCACTGCTACATCTCCTGCAGTTGACGAGACATCCATCGAGAAGTGTATTGGAACGTTGGGACAAATTCCTGATATTCTAGCTGGGAGTGAAATTTACAGTTTTACTATGAGTATGTTCCGCAAGAAAAATAACCAGCAGAGATTTTTGGGGATGCCTACTGATGAAGCTCGCAAGTGTTGGTTAGAGTTTAATTATCAGTTATACCTCAAGAAAAATGGATAATTGATCGTTGTGGTTGAGTATTTCTAGTATTCCGTGTTCTAATATTGTGGTTGTATGAGTAAATGTTATTATGGTTTTATGTGTAAACTTTATATATTTCTTTTTGTTTAGACGTTGTGATTGTATCATTAAACTTTTATTGAATTAAAGCTTCTGTTTGTTGAGCTTCTATCGTTAAGCTTCTGTTAAGCTTCCCTTTGCTTTACGTTTGTAAAGCTTCAGTTAAGGTTATGTTTAGAAAGCTTTAGTTAACTTTATGTTTTCATTTTCAGTAAAAGGGAGAGTTCGAACTCTAGTGACATAGTAGATCCTTATCCAAGTTATTCGTCAGACGATGAAGATGAAGAAGAACTGGAGGAAATACAGAGGGAGCAAGATGAGAAGGAATGGACGGCTTTATGTCAAATAGCAGGTAAATTGATTTTGATGTATTACAAAAAATACCTATGCAAGGAACCTTGTCATACATCTAGTCGCTCTGAAAATGTATTTATTCAAGAGATATTAAGAGGAAACGAGACTCGTTGTTATGAAAATTTTCGATTGAGGAAGTCGGTGTTTGTTGATCTACCGAATGACTTAACTGAAAAGTATGGGCTTAAACCCACACGTGGAATGTCTATACACGAGATGTTAGGCATGTTCTTGATGACTTGTGCACATGGAGCTGGAAATCGATTGATACAGGAAATCTTTCAACATTCGGGAGAAATAATTCATAGACACTTTCATAGTGTTTTAAAGTCCATTTGTGAGCTTGCAAGAGATATAATTAGACCACATCAAAATTATAATGATGGTGCAGGAGCTCACAAGCCATGTAATGGTCAATATCTCCCTTTTTTAGAGTAAGAAATATTTTTACATAATTTAAATATTTTTACATAATTCTTTTTATTAAACTTATAACTTAACTTTTATAAATATTACTAACTTAAGTTAAATTTATACTTACTTGTAAATATGTGTAGGATTGTATTTGTGCACTTGATGGCACACATGTTAAAGCAAGATTACCGCAAGGTCAAGAGATACCATATATTGAACGTAAAGGTTATCCGACTCAAAATATTCTTGTTGTCGTAGATTTTAATATGTGTTTTACATTTGCATGGGATGGGTGGTAAGGAGTAGCTAACGATAGTCGTATATTTGGTGAGGCCCTTCGTAGACCAGAACTCAATTTTCCACGTCCAATTGGAAATAAGTATTATCTAGTTGATGCAGGATATCCGCATATGAAGGGATATATGGCTCCATACAAAGGAGATAATGTGAGATATCACCTAGCACAATTCCGTCGCGGTGCAACAAGACAATTGCGAGAACCAAGAGGGTGAATTGAAAAATTTAACTATTTGCATTCTTCTTGTAGAAATATTGTAGAGCGCACATTTGGGGTTTGGAAAGCAAGATGGTCTATTTTGCGAGACATGCCTTTCTATTACATTGACACTCAAAGAGACATCGTACTTGCTATTATGGCCATTCATAACTATATTAGAAAAAAATGCAATATGGATGATGCATTCCGAGCAGCTGAGAATGAGAGATATGTTCCATCGGTTGATCCTGGCGTTGATACATCTTTGAGAGCTAATAACAATATAAATGCGGAAAATGTGGAAGAGCAAAGTGATCTTGTTTGGATGGGTCTTCGCGATTTGATTGCTAATGAAATTTGTGAAGCTTGATACTTGTAGCTGTATAAATCTTTTAAAACACTCATATTTATTATTTTACATTTTAATTGAGAAACACTAATGTTATCTTGTTATTTTGTATGTGTTTGGATCTTCTGTAGCATGATCTGATGACATCTCATCATGGATAACTTTGTGAATTTACAAATTATCAGTGCATTGATCACCAAGCTAAATGGATTCCCAATCCCATAAGTTTATTATCAGCTTAAGTTATCTTAACCCTTAAATAACAAGAATGCTTCAGCCACTAGGGAAGCTATAAGAAACATCCCACGAGAACCAGCCAGAAGCATACTCAACGGTTATATTTTTTTTCCTTGCATGCACATCGGAAAAAATGAATTAACAGGCAGTCTTGGCTGAATAGAACCATTTTTACCCAGATTTTCAATTTTTTTCCTCTTTTGTACAAACTAAAAATGAGCGTTCAAGAATTATATTTGTAAAAACTATCTTAAGTAATCATTTAAATTGAAATTAAATTAAAATATAAATTATTTTTTATTTACATTTATTATATAAATCAAATATATTGTAGTAATCAGTTCCTTTATAATGTTAACAGCTCTAAGGATATTTCTGTCTTTTTAATAGAAAAAAGTTCTTGCCAGCACTTATTTACCAAACACTTCAACAGCTTTTTTTAGGCTTCAGCACTTTTATCCAAACAGGTAACTGTTTATTTATAAAACAAGTTTCAGCACTTAAAAGCTACTTTTTTCCAGCTAATCCAAACGGGCTCTAAGTTCCTAAATAGATATCTTCGACCATAATTCTCAATGCTTAATGTTCTAATCTAAGTTGTTGATAGATGTTTAAAGTTCTTAAATATATATTAGTACTTTCATTGTTTCATTTTCTATGATAGTAATGACTTCACACAGAGTTCAAGCCGTATTAGAAAGTATGACGGAACGGTATATAATTGCTCAAACTAATTAATTCCCATTCATTAGTCATGTTTGTACGAAATTTATTCCCCAAAACTATAAGCTTTGTTGGTTTATAATGTCGTTCCGTTATATTTCCTTTTTTCCTAGAACCCCATCGAATGAAGCAACTGATTTACGCAAATGTTCCTTTTTAACCACTATTTAGATTTTGTCCCTATTTTTAAAAGTTGTGCAAATATAGACCCTGAAAATTATCCCATCGAATAATGTTAGCCTCAGATCTAATGTTTGTTCGTATATTACTCACAAAATATTACACAGTCGTCTAACGTTTACAATAACTTATAAATTGCTCAAAAGAGATCTTTAAACCGTAATCTAAAAGGTCCATAAATTTTGAGAAAGATAGAAGGAGAACCACTTACTAAACAGTTATGTAATGTAGCACTAAAGCACACCTACTACAAGTATAACATAACCAAAGCTCCCTACATCATACATGTTTAGTTTTCAAGCACAACACAAAATTGAGAAAGCAAGAGTATTTTCTTCTTGAAACAGAGACTGAATTGCCACTAAGATTTACTGAGAAATTTAGCAATAAACATAACATTTACTTAGAATATTAATCTGATGCGTAACTTGATCAATTTTGTCAAATACATATATCTTTTCTCAATCTGATACTCAATTTAGTGCATTACAAGTTGGAAAGAAATTCTTCAATATTTTTATCAGAACTCCCTCCTTCATCTACTGCTTCCTTAGCCAAATTTTTCCATTTAATTGCATTCTCTTTTAGCATTACACCTTTCTCTCCCTCCATCACTTCCCTTATAGAACTTGCTACTTCTTCTCTTGTAATTACACCATCTTTTCCAGCCTTAACTCGAATTCCCGTTCGCCATACATCACTAATAAACTTAGCATTAGTTGGTTGATCTGTCCACTGAGGCATACACACCATTGGCACTCCTAAACTCAACGCTTCGAGTGTCGAATTCCATCCACAATGAGTAAAGAAACATCCAACTGATTTATGAGCTAAAACATCAAGTTGAGGACTCCAATTCACAATTAGTCCTTTTTCTGATACCTTTGACATGAAATCATTTGGAAGTTTGTTTTCTTCAGTATCTCTAACTACCCACAAGAAGTAGGAGTTGCTCATTATTAATCCAAATGCTAATTCCTCCATTTGTTTTTCTCCAAGACTCGCCAAACTTCCAAATGATACATAAACAACTGAGCCAATTTCTTTCAAATCTAGCCATTTCATACAAGTTTCACCATTAGGTTTGATAAGACTTGAGCCATATTCTTTGTCATCTTTTAGTCTCTTGTCAAGATACATTGATGGAATAGTTGGTCCAATTGTTTTGATTGGATATTGAGTCCTCATCCAGTCAACCACCTATGCAAATTCAGCAAAAGAAACATCAGATTATCGGTATGACACTGTATAAGCAGTGGCGGAAGGAGAATATTCGCCAAGGAGATTCAAAAAAGCTAAGGGAAGTCAACATCTAATATATATACATGAAAAAAGAAATTAACCTTAGTATATACAGTGTAATTTTCAGCAAAGAAGGTTCAACTGAACCTCATTCCGCCCACCTAGCTCTACCACTGGATGTAAGGATATGTGCGTATCTAGCCTGCTTAAGTGGAGTATTTGTTTTCTTCCGTCTATATGACACTCTTTACTCTTTAGTGTGTTACTGAACATTTCTATCTTAGGAAACTCTTTAATTTTAAACTTTCATTACATCCTTTTACGTCCATAAAAATGTCATAACAAGTTTAAGCCCATCTACTAAAAGTACTTCTGGTATGTGCCAAAAAAATTCTTTCTGTTTTTAAGTCCGCGGCTAATCAAACACCTGCATATAAAATGCGACCGGAGGAGTATATTATTATAGCACTTTGGGGTGGTCAACTTGTGTGCTACAGATAAATTATACTTCTGCTGTATTTAACAACAATTTAACTTCAAAATTTTCATTTTTTACACTAAATAAGATTGTTTAAAGTCACACATATATATATGACATATTTCGAACCACAAGATTCAAAAGTTCTTTTTAACTAAAATTTCGTATCAAATCAAACACTGCCACAAAAATTGGGACGAGACGGGTGAGAGAGCATACCTCCTCTAACACATCAAATGTGTTGAAAAAAAGCCAATCTGCTTTCTTGAAATTAATATTCTGGCTGAAGACAAGTCTTACAAGAGATGGATATGAATCACCCTCATACACAAAAGAAGGCAAATCTTCCTTTTCTAACAATGGAAGTGAAGGCAAAGAAACAGCAGAACCATCCAAAATAATTTTACGTATTTCTGGATCCAAATGATAATATATAGCACTAAGAGAACAAGATTGTGTAAAAAAAGCAGCCCCTTTAATTCCTAACTCATGTGCTAAATCAATCGCCCAAGCAGTGACTGAATCAAATACAAGAACTTTCACAGGATATTCAGAATCAAATAATTTCTCAACAATTTTTTTCAAATTGTTAGATATTAAAACAAAGAACCATTCAAGAAAAATATCAATACTTTTTGGTGGTGACTCATCATGTGGAATTGACTCAATTTTGACTGAACAAGATTCCATTGGCATGGATTTGCTAATAGAATCTATAGTAACTAGGGTTACTTTAACTCCTCTTGATACCAAACGTTTGGAAAATTGAACCATTGGATTTATGTGGCCTTGTACAGGGAAAGGGAGAACTAGAACATGAGATTTGCTGGTTATTTCTTCCATTTTGGAGTATACTTTTAGCTGCTCAGTTAAGCTTTTAGACTTTTATTGAGAGTAGTTTTGGAAAAGAAGAGCTAACCTTTGTGAAAAGTTGGGACGATACTTCTCCTTTCCTTTGAATTTATGCTAACGGCACTTTGGTACACTAAGATCACGCCATGTGCGGAATTCGGAGAAGAATCGGACCACAAAGGTTTAAAAGATTATTTTCACGGCTCAAATCCATAATATCTTGATCACATGGTAGCTACTTTATCAATTACGCCAAGGCTCCCCTTTAAATTTACGTTGGGTCGAAATATTTTCTTATTAATCCGTTTAAAAAAGATATCACATTTTTTATATAGGAGTACAGAAAAGAATTGAACTTTAAATTTCTCGGTTTTATTTTTAATGAAATTTTTATGATTCCACAAATTTATGACATTTAAAATTATAAATTTTAAAAATTTTACAACTACACAAATATTATACTCACGTAATTTCAATTTATATAAACTTATTTGACTGAACACGAAGTTTAAGAAAAAAAAAAGATTTTTGAACCTGTTGTATAAAATTAGGCACATATATTTTGGGCAGAATAGCTTCCTGACTACTTAAACTTGTAGGGGTTTTAAAAGCCGATACATAAACTTTCAACTTTCTCATATGAACACTCGAACTCATTTTTCCTGTAACAAATAAACACATTTGACCATTGACCATTGACCATGTGCGCGTGTATTACACATACACATACGTGTCCATCCAGTCAGCAAATGACCAATGAATGTCTTACACGTCAAAGCCGCGAAAACCCTAACCCAACAGATCGGGGTTCGCTCTTTATTCCATAAACCGACCCCCTCCCCTCATTTTAACCTCTCTCTAACCAAAATCTCCCCAATTAAACCTGGGTTACCAATGGGCTAACAATCACTCACCCCTTTCCAAAATCGATCATAATCACTCACCAATTTGTTCTCGTTTATTATATGTTAATCTCGTTCTGATCGAGTTTCGTTTGGTTCATGATTTCGATTTCAGTGACGTTATATGATCTGATGGTTCGTTTGTCTCTTTTTGATTCCATCATTTTCATGGTCTGAAAAAAAAGATAAAAATTAGATAGAGCTTCAGATTTTACAAAATGGAGGAATGGAGTTTTAGATTTTAGAAAAATGGAGGAATATGTTATTTTAGAAATGAAGAAGAAGACACTTAAATACAACCCATTTTGTACCATTGGGCGTTGGAAAGGGGCTTTCACGCTCTTGTGTGCCGTGTTTCTCATACAGTCTGCTGATTAGGACCAACTGATACTACATGGTCATGGTCATGGTCAATGGTCAAATGTGTTTATTAATTACCAAAAATTGAGTTTGAGTGTTTAAATGAGAAAGTTGAAAGTTAATGTATCGGCTTTTAAAAATCCTACAAGTTTAAGTGGCCAGGAAGTCGTTCTGCCTATATTTTGTGTGTAGGGGCGGCTCAACAATGTTGGTGGCTTAAAGTCAAATCTTCATGTTAGGGCTTATTCTTTTTTAAAAAAATCATATATATTTTTTATTAAAATTTTCCTTACTTTTTGAGACGCAAAGTTATTAATATTCTTTTTATAATCGAGTTATTCTAACAATTCTTTTTCGCATGATAATATAGCTAATTCATTTTAGTATCTTTTGAAATATTGTGGATCCTAGATAAGATTGTATTACATTAAAATTTAATAAACTTCTTCCCCCAAATGCAATTGTTAGAAGAATATTATTTGATAAGGAATATAGATATTTGAAAAAGAATCAAGTATTATTTTTTCAAGTCTTGTTAGCTGATTGAGTATATCGAATAGGATATTATTTCTACTTATAGTATTTCCTTTAATGTTTTTAATTCGAAAAATAAGTCTGAATTATCCATTAGAGTGACTTTTCTCATATTCTTATCACCTAGTGATCTCAAATTTTTCACTAAAAATTATAGATATTTTTACACTTCCGATTATTCAAATCTCTATGGTCGACATCAGTAACAAATCAAAGTTTTTTTTCTATTAATTAGGTTATAATTTTTTACTTCAAAATATTCATTTTTAAAAAAAAATATTAATTTTTAAAAAGTACTACTAGAAAAAAATGGGGCCCCTAAACTTTGGGGGCCTAAAGCAATTGCTTGGGATGTCTTACCCTTGAGCCGACATTGTTTATGTGGTTATAAATTATTGCAGAAAGGTAATTATTTTCAAATATGGAAAGAGTCATTTTTTTAACACAGATTAAGAAAAATAGGTTCACATAAATTAAAAAAAAAGGGACTGATATATTTAGAAAAATAACCTTCAAAAAGTTGTATGTATGATGTTTAAGTTTAAGGCAGGAAAGTTAACCACAAAGATAGGAAACTGTCTTGTCAATGTTGTTTGGCTGTTTGGTCTTTTTGTCTCGTTAGTTGGCCGTAGGGTTGGGCATATATTGGGTAAAATTGATAGCCTGAATCGAAAAAAGTTTAATGGATTATTAGTATTAGATTATTGGGTTAACAGTTCAATAACAGTTTAGTGTTACTTTATTATTGGGTTATCGGTTCGAGTTTCGGTTTCCCAATTTTATTAACGGTTTAACCGATAACCCAATAAACTTTATAAAAATATGATTTTACCCTTAGGTATATAAATTTTTCAATTCTCCCAATTCTCTATCTACTGTTATAACTTAGGTATATAAATTTTTCAATTCTCCCAATTCTCTATCTACTGTTATAACCCTCTCAAATTTATCATTCAACACATAGAGAAACAATATTGTAAGGTTTATCATATTCTTTGTTAGGGTTTATAATAGTAGAGAAAGTTTATCATATTCTTTATACGGTACACATTATCCTTCATTACTTCTTCCCTCTAGAATCTAGATTGAGTTATTTTATCGGATAAACTGATAACCGAACCGATAACGATCGATAACAAAATTAGTCGATAACCGATAACTGATATCTTATCGGTTCAGTTATCAGTTTAGCATATTTATAAACCGGTAACCGATATGCCAAACCGATAACATTTACAACCGAACAAAACTGACCGATGTCAACCCCTAATTGGCGGAATATGTGGTAGGGGCTATAGATAAATGTGTAGTTTTTTTATCTAGATGTGATTTTGTGGCTGGTTGAAGTAATTTTTGTAAGATAGGAACAGTATAAATTATAATAGGAGAATTAACCTAAATAGTTATCTACCTTATCTATTATTCCCTCAATTTCAATTTAGATGACACACTTTCTTTATTAGTTCATTCAAAAAAGAATAGCAGATTTCTATAAGTAGAAATAATTCAACTTTAAATTCTTCATTTTAATCTTAATGATAAGCTTTTACAATCACACAAATGGCATAGCACCACAAAAGCTTTTTGTACCCCTTAAGCTTTTAAGACCACAAGTTTCAAAAGTCTTTTTTTTCTTAAACTCCGTGCCGAGTCAAACTACCTCATCTAAATTGAAACGGAAGGAGAAGAATAAAACTAGATGGCAAATATATACATAATTCATATAGAATATATGTATAATCATGTATAATTAGTATATAATTTATTATGTACCGGCTAGGAGAAGTAAAATAGTAAATCCCCTTAGCTACTTCTATAAATAATAATGGGAAAAGGTCTTAATTTACATCCGTTAATCTTTAATAATATCAGACTTTTCAACTTGTTTTATCTGTTATTGAAAATCGAAAGCAGATTTGCGTGAGGATAGACTATTGGCATCACTTCTCTTAAAGTGCGTCCATTTCTCCTAAGTGGAATGCTTTGTGTATAGAATTGCCCTTGAAGATAGAGGGCTTTAATACAAATTACTCAAGAACCTTTTTATCCTGCCTTCAAAAGAATTCGCTTTTTCATTTGGAATCTCACATTTGTCTTATGTTCCTTTTTCAAAAATCATCGGGTGTCTAAAATGTATTGACTCGATAAATAAGATTTGTGTGGTAGATAGGCTGTTATGGGTGGTTTTAGCTTTCCATATTACAAAATTTCATTCTCAGAGCTCGAATTCGATATTTCTAATTAAATGTGAAGAAATCATTATCATTTTATTATGCGCCCGTTGGCTATAAGAAAAAATTTACTTTTTTCTAAAAAAATTTATTTTATTCGAAATTAGTGGTTACAACAGCAACAACAACAACAACAACAATAATAACAATAAATCCAGTGCAATCTCACAACGTTGTCAAGACCCAAAAAATTAAAAGTCATGATGGCACCTAACTCAACCCGCTAGGTAAGCCAACTAACAGAAAAACACAACCCAACTGAGGTTATAAGAGAAAGAGAACAGATAACTGAGCATTTATGAATTTACCAAGACCTTGTAGTACGAGCTTCTAAGATTTGGAATTTCAAAACTGATACAAATAAATACACGTTTTGTTCGAAGGTTACATAAACAGATTAGCAATAATCTAAACTACCAAGGACAAGTGGCAGCTATAACCAAACGCACGAACATCTTCCGAATCAACACTCGACGTCATCAGTAGCTCCGCTCCAAAATCTGCACTGAACGTGCAGAAGTGCAGTATCAGGACAACCGACCTCATGTACTGGTAAGTATTTTGTCTAACCTCGACGAGGTAGTGACGGGGCTTTTAGCTGAAAGATGCTTATTGTTATAACATGTACATTAAACTAACAATATGGGCAGTTCAAAATATAACAGATAAAATACTGTATAAAACTCTGCGAGACAATCAACAATTACTAGCAGGAATCACAATAGAAGATTTACAATCCTTCCTGGTATGAGAAGTGTATTCAAGATATCAAGTCAAATGGCACGATAACACCCTTCGTGCTTCTATCTCATCCTCACCATATATAAATAAATTTATGTGACAAATCAATTAGCACGACAACACCTTTCGTATGTTCAACTCATCCTTCCCAAATGTACGGGCTTTTAGCTGAAAGATGTTTATTGTTATAACATGTACATTAAACTAACAATATGGACAGTTCAAAATATAACAGATAAAATACCGTATAAAACTCTGTGAGACAATCAACAATTACTAGCAGGAATCACAGTAGAAGATTTACAATCCTTCCTGGTATGAGAA